TCATGTAGGTAAACAGATTAAGAATATGTGACTTTTCCTCTGTACTAACAAGAAAACTCATAGTTCATAGATATTTAATACAGAAATGAAGCCACCCAGTTCACACAGATGTAATTATAACTTTTTGATAATGTAGAGACTACTTACTAGAAAGACAGGGGAAATCCCCCAGTGTATGAATATCAAGCTGGAATTAGCTAGGTGGATAATTTTAGCCTACATGAATCTGTTCATTTCCCTCTATTCAAGAGAGTAATTCAAAGCAGTTAAGGTAGGACAACTATTCTGAATTTTTTTCTCCCTTGTCTTTTATAAGGCTAAATTGCTTGCTCAGAATATTACCTTAAGGAAAGAAAAATAACAGATATTTAGAATTTATGGTGTATCAAGCACTGCGATTCCTGAACCTGAAGCTAAATCTGCATAAAAGAGGTATAATTCCCATTTTACAGGTAGGAAAATCTAGGCTCCCAGAGATTAAGGACCTTGCCTACAGATTTGGATTTGGGACAGAGTTTTCCCACTCCAAATCCTAGACAAATTCTTCTCCTGAACATAATAAATGTGGTCTTACTGGGTTTAATAACATTTCCACCTTAAGAAAATTATGGTCCTACCAGGTTTACTTCACTTTTGATATTATTAATAACTAATTCAGCAGTTCTCATGCATTATGTCAGCACAGGAATGTCTGTGATTGGAAATGTCTCAGGAGAAACTCACACTACAGATTCTGAGGAGACAAGTACCATGGTGCTTTAACCAATCTTGCATCCAAATTATATGTTAGTTAACTGCTATTTCTGTGGCATTTTAAAAAAGATTATATTACTTGCCAAACACTACTACCTTAAATACTAATATTAGAATCCAGTGGTAGGTGGGGACTTTTCTCTGCCATGTAAACTGGAACTAAAACTCCAAAATGCACACAGCTATGAAAATGCACACAGATCAATGACTTCAGTATTTTCAACCCTATTGTTGGGGAATGGTGTATGCTTTTATGCTAAGTAGTGCTAGTTTAATATGTATTTGCACTGAACCATCCATGTTCCTTTTCCCTCCTTGTTACCAATGAGAAAACAACTGCTAGTTTTTTCTCTAGTCCAAAAACAATTAAATCATTTGGTATCTCCTCTCATTTTTTTTTCTCTCTCTTTTTTTTTAGTTGGAGCCTCACTTTGTTGACCAGGCTGCAGTACAGTGGCATGCTCATGGCTACCACACCATCGACTTCCTGGGGTCAGGCAATTCTTTTGCCTCAGCCTTCCAAATAGCTGAAACTACAGATGTGAGCCACATACCTGGCTAATTTTTTTTTATTTATTGTAGAGATATGGTCTTGTCAAGTTGTCCAGGCTAGTCTTGAACCCCTGGACTCAGGCAATCCTCTTGCCTCCTCCTCCCAAAGTGCTGGAACTACAGGCATCAGCCACCATGTCCAGGACTCTCATTTTTTCCCTTCACTTGTCTTCCTCTTATGATAGCTGACTAAGTAATTAACTTTACACACCTATGTAAACAGAGCTGAAGACACAATTTTATAGATACAAATCTACATATTCATATGCATATACCGATATATATTCATACATAGTATGTACTCATATACAACATAATATATAATCTTCAGTGATTAACATATAAATTATAACAATAAAAAATTACTATAAGCAACCCTAAGTCTAAACTATGCAATTTAAAAGTTACTGCACTAAAATTACCTATGGATAGGATGGAATGAATAACCTATAACCAATGAGAAACAGAAAATCTAAATAAAATGTAAAAAGTGAACAGTTTAAAGGGATTAGAAAACTGCTGAAGCAACAAAGTCGGAAAGGTCTAAAATTCTCAAAAGAAGAGCACTCTGGAGAAGTGAGAGAAGAATTTTCAACTGATTTTGTTGATTCTGGGGTCTTGTAAGAGTCCAGACTTGATTTGGGAAGGACACTGCTGAGTGTTAGAGAAACCAACAGAGTGGAGGAATCTTGAGGAATTGGAGTAACAAATATAGACGTGCGAGACAATTATCTCTTGACATTTGTCAAATTCTGAAGCTGCAGAATCTAGCTAAGTTAAAATGGCAGAAAAGCACCCCACATTTTTCCCAGTCTTGCAATCCCGAGAATAAAAATATTTAAAAATATTGGTATTCAAGACCTGCCGAGAGGAAAGTCCCAAATGAACACAGTAGGTTAAAGTTTGTCCTATGGATCAAATTCAGCCCACTCTTCTTTCTGTATGGTTCATAAATCAAGAATAATTTATATACTTTTAAATGGTTGGTAAAATAATCAAAAAAAGAATCATATTTTGTTACATGAAAGTATACAAAAGTCAAATTTGGTGTCCATAAATGAAGCTTTATCAAAATATATCCTTAATATATTGACTTAGGCTGTCAATATACATGCATCATTTTATATCCTTTATATATGTGATGTTCAAATATTGACTTAGGCTACTTTTACACGATGAGTAGTTGCAAAGGGACTACATGATCTACAAAGCCTAAAATATTTACTATCTGGCCCTTTACAGAAAATGTTTGCCAACGTACATTAGACTGTTAGTTGAAAACTGGTGAAAACACCCCAATAACAGGGCAAACTAGCGATGGATTGTCTCACCAAAACTCAACTCAACCTCATGTTGGCTCAGTTCTGGATTGAATTAGGGTAATTAGCCTTCACTCTATCTGCCTAGCAGAGGAAGAGTAAATTTTTGCTGGAAAAAAATATTTTTAATGGAGCCTCTATAATTTTAATACACACTTTATACTGACAATTATATTAATAAAATTCATAAAATTACTGCACTTACTTTGTTTGTTCTGAACTGAATTGTAATACATCTAAAGAAGCCTGACTTGACTGGCAAGTTCAGTAACAATCCACTAACATCCAGAATTTTAAACAAGTAATATTAGTCTATGTTATTTTTTAAAAAAACTAAAACATGATCTTTGCCTTGCTAAGCTATGGTGTGGTCAGGTGCTCTTTGAGCTATGGCCAGGCCACGTTTTCTTAAGCTTTGGCTCCCTCCCCTCCCTTGGGGAGGTGAAGTCCTTCCCCCTGGTCTCTTGCTCTCTCTCTCCAGTTTACTTTTAAATAAACTGTATTTTCTAATCTAAAAAAACCCCCAAAACTCTAAAACATGAGTAAGAATATTACCTAAAAGCATTTTTCTTGGCAAGAAAACTTAAAATATGTGTCTGGAATAATAGTATTTTAACTAGCTAGATGGTTAGTTTCCATTGTAAAGCACTCCAATAATATATGGGATAAAGTCTTTGAATTACTTATTTTGCAGAAAATAAAAAAAATAGTAGTTGACCAGTTTAAAAACATTTTTACTTATAAACTGAATTCTAGAACTCATTTTTCAATGATATGATGTTCAGAGGACACTGGCATCATATTTTAGACATCTGCCATCCTGAGAAATCTGGTAAGCATAAATGTGGGAAAAAATTGGTAACATTGAAATATTTTAATTATGCAATATGCTATGCCTGCATCTCTCCTAGGACTTTAAAATTTGACTTTAATAGTTTTTTCATAATGAAAAGAACAACTCAGAAGAGCAAGACAGCTGAGAAGTTCAATGTGTCATAGAACTGCAAAACTGTTAAATTTATTTTAATTAGGATATACTTAGGTGTTACATCTGTGGCATAAGTAAATTGCAACTCCCAGACATAACAGATCAGGTCATTTTAATTTTCAAACTATCACAGCTTGCAACATATGTCTTATCGGTGTCAATGAAATGTAACCTAATCATGCTCAAAAGTCCAGGTCATATAATAATTTTATGAGATTCAACCATACACAGTTGTACTATTATACTGAAAGGACACAGATATGGCTATGAATATAACACTGAATATAGGTATTGATTAAAACTGAACATTTTTGCATTTATACATGTTTATATAAATTGCAATCTCTAATTCTTAACTCAATAGTAGACCTAGTCTGTGAATCTTAAAACACATAGCCTGTGTTACCTTATAACATAGGCATGCACAATATTATCTGGGTATTACCTGATATAGTCAGAATTATTATTGAAACAGAAGGATTTTTAGAACTACAAACTTCTTAAAAAGTTACCTATTTAAAAACTTTTTTAAAAGTTTAAATATTCTGTTGTTTTCTGTACTTTTAAGAGCTCCTCAATGACAGTTGCATCTAAACAGAATTTTAACAGTTTGATCTCATAAAGGCTGTGAGTGTGCTTAAATAATATCTCATCAAGAGAGGATATTATTTATCATCTTAGCTAAATTATAATTGTTCCTAAAAATTAAACTCAATATTTTAAAAATTTGTATCATCAGTAGCAGATTATACCTATATAATTTACTCATTTAAAAACAAGGTTTACATTCATATAGTCCCTAAAATTATTTTAAAATTTCTTCACATATATGAAAGCAGTCCTTTTAAAAGCAAGACAATATTATTATATTGAGAACTGGAAAACACTAAGGATAATCTAAGACATTCAGGCAATTAGTAGTTTTATCTAAATGTTTGATTACAGTACATATATGCATATATATCTTTGTATTACTGAGTCTTTAATAACTGGTAGAATGCTATGCCTTTAAACACAAAATCAAATATTATAGTTCAAACTGCTTCTCTTATGCATCCTATCAGATTCAATTAAAAGATCAGAGTCCTCAGAGAGACATATTGCAAACAAAAAGTCCTTAGTAGGTGGTGGAAAGTCAGGCCAGGAGTCAAACAGAAGCAACAGAGATGACAGAGATGTGATATTCAGCACAGTCTCCTCAGAGAGAAAAAGCAAAACCACATGGCCTGCTGAAATGCCGAGTTAATTCTCTCTCCTATCTGAGCATTACATATTACATCTTTAAAATGGTTTCAACTAGATTATTCCTTCTTTAGGTGAGATCCTCTTAAGAAAACAAGCATTTTCAAAGTGCATTGCTGAAACACCATAAAAACTTAATAACCTACCATTTTCTTTGCACTCTTCTGGAGGTTTAGCCTTTTTCGCAAGTCGTGGATCCAGCCATGATGTTGTCTTTGTGTTATGGCTGAAAAGAAAAGAGATCACTCTGAAGAGACACATACTGAAAGGAATCAAGTTTATTCCTTAAGAAAAAAAAAAGCGGGGTTAGTCCAACAAAATTGCAATCGATACACTTAATTTGCTTACTGGTTCTAAGTAGCCCTGAAGGAGGTGTAAGAGTAATTGTGCAAGGCAGCTGTAAATTTGGCAACCTCAGCTCCCTGTCCTCAAAGCAGCTATTTTTATTAAAATCAAGTAGAATGTTGCCAAGTTAACCTCATTGAAAATGCAGAACTCATCCAGAGCAAAAGGAATTTATTACAAATACAGGATTCTCCAGTTGGAAGAGCACAGTCCACAGGCTCTGATAATGTTTCCTGAATTTTGCAAAATAATTATTTTCATCTTAAACCTGCCCTTTTCATAAACATTTGTTTTGATACTTTTAACTACAGAGCTGGAAGAGGCAGTACAAAAGTGATGCAAATTATAGCATGTTCTAGGGATTCCTATATTTTCTCAAAAAGTGATTAATAGCAATTTTATTAACTCATTAACTCTCTTGAATTTAAATACTTTCAACACAGCTCAAAAGGTAGGTGATAAAAAGGTCTGCATTCTAATGCTTCTGAAATGGAATTTCTAGAAATTAATTATAAAAGGAAATTTTTGTTGTGGGAAAAAAAATGTTTTCTTGTAAGTGTTTTGCCGAAAATTTTAAAAGCAAAGGAAAGCTATTCTTAAAGGAGTATTTCTTAAAGTGGTCCTAGAATCATCTGCATTGGAATCAACAGGTAGACTTATTATTATAACAATGTATATTCTGGGTCCTCAAAGAACTACTACATAAGAATCTTTGAGATGCAGCTAGAAAATCTCTATCATCAGCAAGCACTCCAGGTAATTTGGTAATTCTTATGTACTTTCTAATTCAAGAACAACTCAGTGGCTCATAACTGCTCATTGGAGCTAAAATATTCACTGTGTACAGCTGTCTCAAGGGATCTCATCTACCAATGAACAAACTATCAAGAATGTGACATTTATGAGGGCTTTGAAGAAAGAATGAGCAAAGTCATCGGTGTGGGAAAGCATGAGGTTCATACAGGGAATAGTCAGAAGGTGAATGAATCGAACATGAAAGGGAAGAGTGGGAAATAGGTTGGAAATTTAAATTAGGACCAGATAATAGGAATACTTGAGCATAATTGTAAGGAGGTCAAATGATAATGATGATATAAATTTCACATGTATTCTCTTTCTTCAACAAAATTTAACTATATTTTATCATGTCAGAGTCACAAATGTTAGCTAGATAATTTAATAAACCAATCTGTAGCTAAAATGAAGGTCAGAAAATTTACCCAGGCAGTATATTTAATACGAACATGTAGAGATCAAGTTCCCTCCTAATGAAGGAAATTTTAAGCCAGGAAGGAGGGAGGACGGAGTCAAAATGGGTGGTGAAAAGCTATTCTAAGGTATTAAAGGACTCTTCAAATAGCATTTTCTGGATGATCATCCTGTCTACCTTCCTGTAGAGCCATCTTTGATTTGAGAACTGTGACATTAAGACCTTTGGGTCATGAAGTTCCTGCACCTGAAGAAGATTCCTTTTTGTTTCCAACTTTCATGTGGTGTAAAGAGAAAGTACCCTCCATCATTTTCTTCACATTTAAGATCTTCTTAATGATAAATGCCTCTGACCTGGGCTCTAATAATTTGATCAGATAAAAGTTATGAATTTGACCAAATAACAAATTATCAGGAGAACATACCAGCTTTTATTTCCCCCCAATATGATCATTGTAAAGCCTGGTGGTGCTTCATTATCAAATTTTAGAGGGAATAAAGTATTGCATCAACTTTCATCTGGCTCTAACCCTCATTTGCGTGATGTCTATCATCTAGTCTTTTTCTCTGAACTGAAGACTTGAAGTTCCTGGACATAGACTCTGACTATCCCTAATATGACAAAATTCCAAATGTGTGGTGAGTGTTTGCTGCTCTCATTTTGCAAAACAAAGTCACTTAAAAACGCTCTGTATAGAAATGCCTCAGTTGAAAATGTGTGTGTATGCTGGTGTGTGGTGATGCCTATGTTTCTATGAAGTAGGAGGAAATATTGGGGAATGAGCAAGGAAAATACATTTCCTTGTGCCTTCACCAGCTTCTTCCAAATCCTTTCCCATTTTGGAGAAAAGTCATTTCTAGGTCCCTTAATAAGATTCACAAAAGCAAACAAACCCATAGATAAGTAAGGGACCATTACTAAGTCACTATAGGGAATCAAATAATCATTCCAATACTGCATAAACTTAGGTCTCAAATACTGGCTAATTTAGTAGAGAACTATGAATTTTCTAGGTTTCCTGAGTTTATATAAAGCTTTTCACTACAGGATGATTTTTTTTAGGTTGAACTAGCATTAATGGTATGTCAGTTTAATCCATTTTGACAGACTGCGTCTCTTATAGTTAACAGCATTTTCAGAAATGATTCTGAAAGAAATGTGGGTTGTAGTTACCTCCAGTAATTGTCTTACACATCACATGAAGATACAGCACAGTATTTTTCAATAGTGGTTCTTACCAACCTTGTACTTTGCATGCCCCTCCAAGATGTCTTAAAAGAACTAAAGGGAACAAATATTTTCTAGAAACTTTGAATCACAATATACTGCTTTATGAATTTCTACGGATAAAGCTAATGTGATAATCACGAAAACTGAGAGATCAAGTAAAAACAAGTCAGTAGCTATTTAAATTTATAAAATAATAATATAATTAAGATTCAATCAATGTCAGATTTAAAAATCTGGGTGAAACCCTAAAACAGTGGTTTATCATATGGGTATACCTTCTCTAATATTAAATTAATACCAAATCTAGTTGGAGGACTAGAATAAACCAGAAGTGAAATTTCTCAACTCTACAATTCTACTTTAAATTCATATCCTAATGGCCTTGAAAATATGTGATAGGGCTGACCTGCAATGAACAGAAATTTCTGTACAATTTGTAAGCTTAACTGCCAAACTGTCAAAAGCAGCAAGTTAAATAATATCCTATCTTCTGAGAAAACATTCTTCTCACACAGAACATGCTTCATTTCAACAGGAAAAGCTACTTACACACCACTGAAAAGTCATTCTCACTATCTCATAACTTTCTCGATTATTTACTGTCAAAGACTGCAGCAGAACTTTCACATATGTCACCTTATATGATACTAATGAGCCTTTGTGGCTAAGTATTATTAACTTCATTTTACAGATGGAAAAACCGAAGTTGAGAGAAGTTGGGATTACACAACTAGTGCATGAAAGCGAAAGAGTGAGCATTAAACCCAGGTATAACTGATTTCCAAGTCCAAGGGCTTCAGTGGTCTGAAACCAGAGGCATACTGAACATCACACTTTACTTTTCAAACTGAGGTGCTTTATTTCACAACTAGGGATAGTAATCAAAGGTTTGTTTCCCAACTCCTGCCAGTGGTTTAGAAACAGACTTAACTATTTATGGATCCTAATCACTACTTAAGTTCCTTTGTAAGTGTTGAATGCTTTGAACTTATTAGGTATTATACTAAGTTACATGTGCAGAGAGAAAAAAGAGAACATTGTGATTGAGGAGGCATCAACGATATCACTGGGAAAATTTTCCCCTGATAAATTTAAATTCTCTATTTGAATCACTTTCAAATCAAATTTTCTTCATTCAATTCTGAATAGTTTTCCAGAAGAAAGTCTTTTTAAAAACCTGATTTATATATCTATATATGAATATTCCGTCTTAGAAGCTATAGCAAAGAATTAGATTAATAAGAAATGCTATCAATTGATGGATTTATTTATTAGGAGCAAAATTTTAAATTTTCTTATAGATCATTCCACACTCTATTCCTCCATTCCATTTTTTTCATTCACTCTATTGTTTTTCCAATCAGGATACAAACTCTTTTTCTTTTTTAAAACATTTTTATTTTAAAGATGCGGTGTTCATTTCAGGATTAGGTATACAAGTGGTCATTGTACAGGTAATATTTGGACCTCTCTTTGGTCCCCACTTTGCTTGGTTTGAGATCAGGTATCCTTATTGATGCTATGTGCCTCTCCCCTCCCCTGGTAGTTTCTGGTTACTGCCAATTCCTTTCTTATAGTATTATGGTAAATGTTCAAGGTACGCTTATGCGTGAGAACATATGGTACTCAGTTCTTTGTTAACTCCAGTAAGAACGGCCATCATTAATAAAACAAAAAAGCAACAGATGCTGGCGATGATGCAGAGAAAAGGGAACTCTTCTACACTGTTGGTGGGAATGCAAACTCATTCAACCTCTATGGAAAACGGTGGAAACCACTGTGGAAATTACCCTACACATTCCTTTTTAGTTTCTTAAGTATACATAACTGGATCTTCAAGGGTGATCCAATTCAAACCTAATTTGAAGACATGTTCTCTTTTCCTTTCATATGTCTTTCTGTTTCCTTTTCTTTTCTTCTTTCCTTCCTTAATATTGCCAACTGGATCAAAACAATGTTTTCACTATTGTACAAATATTGGAAGTGTCTTCTTTCATCAATTTAATGGATGAAAAACTTTTATTATGAAACATACATCTTTCCTTTGCTCCATTTCCTCTAAAATAATAACAGACTTAAAACCACAACAAAGTCCTCCTAAAAAGTCAATTCTGAATCTTAATCTTAAACTGATAGTTAATTGGTATTTTCCCCCTAGGGAAATACTACATCAGAAGAATAATAAGAGATTAAAGTCAGTGACATTTGACTACATAAAACATAATCATCTGAATAAGATAAGCAAGATATAGATAGGTAAATATTTTGGAGTCAATAACAATTTAAAATGTGCCCAGATGTTAAGGTTTCAGTAGTAGTTATACAGGTTCAAAGACAATAATAACATAGAAATTGCTGACTGTATTTTAAAAAATAAACATTAATTTTTAAAGCTAGGTAAATTAATTAGATTTTATACTATAGTCAATAAAATCCTCAGG